TAATATAAATTGCTTTAGTATCTGTAATCTAAATTATATTATATATATATATATATATATATATATATATATATATATATATATATATATATATAATCAAGTTCACCCCAACATGACAATAAATCCACTAAATAATAGTAAAATAAAAGAATATTTTATTGAATTCATAAAATGTAAGAATTACTTTCGAGTAAGAATTCAATTGAAGATTTCATATGTAACTTAACCAACAACAATACCAAAATAGGGTGAGTTTTTAATAGCCATTGCTCTATGGGAAACCCTTTGTAACCATATACATATATTTTTAAAATCGACCTTCACCCCATGCAAGCAAGTAAAGCAACTGAGACACCAGGGCTTACTGGGTGTGAAAGAATTAGACAACAGAATCATTATAAAGGAGCGGAAACAAAAGAACAGCAATCAGGAAGACAGTAGATGACAATTGACATTGCATTTCAATTTTTGAAGATTAAAGTTGACTGGAAAGCATGGAGCCGGAAGGCAGTTCCATAAGCGAGAAGTGCGTAAGAACAAACTGTTAGCATAGAACTTACAGTTACATTTAGCCAATTCAACTGTAAATTGAGGAAACCTCATCGCCAGTCTAGTACTGAGTTTAAATTTTAAAAAGTCTATGTCCCATAGCGATGAGCTCATCCGAACAATTACCATGAAAGTATTTATAGAAAAGGCACAGGGAAGCAACTTTACGTCGGTGGGAAATTGACTGAAGACGAGATGTCAGATCAGGACCAATGATATTGCTGATTCTTTGGATTTTATCAAGGTAAATAGCAGGTATACCGGAACATATGTGACGGCAATATTCTAAGCATGGAGGAATGGTAGACTTATAGATATGTACGATAAATTCTGCAGAGAAAAATAAATTGTTTCACCCGACACAGTGAAGTAATTCTCTTAGCAGTTGACCTAGCAATAGATTTAATATTGTCTTTCGGTTTCATGTCAGCCGAAAAGGTTACCCTGGGGAGGTTTATGGGATAGACTTGGATGGAGAGTTTCTTCTATTTCTTTCCATCCTCTTCTAAGTAAATTGGAGAGACATTTCAACCTTCCGCTGAACTGTGGCTAAATAAATAAAGAATATATCTATATATTTAGGCAGCATATCATTCAAGCATGTTTCACTGAATAATATATATAGACATATTATGTCAGTTTTATAATAATCCTTTCTAGTTTTCTACTTGGCTTCTTGATGTTAAGTTGAAATTCATTATGGAAGGTGCCGTAGTTTTTGTTAATCCAAGTACTTTCGATCTCCTCTGTGATCATCCTCAGGGGTGAATTGCAAAGACAAACTTAACGTAACTGTAATCATTGTGATGGCGAATTTTAAAAAATGTTCAGTTCTTAGCTCGTTGGGCATGATCGACAACATGCTTATTGGGATAAATTGTTGTTTCTCATTGTTTTTTAACGGATTGAATTCAGAGTTATTATTCTCCTAGGTTGGTTGGCACCCAAGGCTACAAAGTCCAGTTTGCACTGTTATTTAACCTATAGTTGGGAAGAGCGGAGAGTGATTTATGCCTTTCCGGGAGCAATAGTTATAAACTGAATGCAACACATGATGCCGGAAAATGAATTCTGATCATCAATTTAATTTTTCTTTTTCCAAGTACAACATATCTGGAGTTTGGGTGTTGCATTCGCACACCCTTGTATCAACAGCATAGATATATCGTAAGAGATCTGAGTATACTCTTAGGGAGATCATCTATGTAAATTAAAAAAAGTTGGAGCGTGAAGCGACCCCTGGAAGGCAAATGCTTGGGTTTCGGAAGACTGGCCGCTAACTTGTTAAGAAGAACATAATTCAGAATACTCTTCCAGTAATTCTAGAGGGTTTCTACAGTGACCGTCTATGTCACACCGTGTCAACTGTGCCTCTCTGATTATTTCAGTAATTACAGAATATCAGCAGTGGACCGAAACGATCGAAATTCATACTGCTTGTCGCTAAAGCGGTTATCCCTATTGAGGTAAGCAACAACCTCCTTGTTGATTATAGCTTAAAAAATTTACTAATGATACTCAGAACACTCATGGGTCTATATAGAGACGACGATGAGCGCTTAACAGCATTCTTGAAAATAGAGCATACTCTTGACATCTTCCGCATGCTTCAGAAGGATTTCAAGCAGTAGTTTATGTTAAATAGTTTTTCTAAGAGTGATATAAATGTAAGGTTTTTGTCAATTAATAAAAATTAAGCTTTATTCTCTATTAGTGGCTCGCTATACCAGCGCTATGGTTCTTGCATTAAGTGCTGGAAGACCCGGGTTCAAATCCCAGTTGAACCAGATATTGGTAAAGTAATATAAATGTAATTTATGAAAATTATACGGTATTTCCAGTCTCTGGTCTCTTTTCAGGAGTATGATTCTCGCTTATGGTGCAAGACATCTGGGGCGATCCCGTTATTCATCAGATATAAGGTTTTGAAAATATGCGGTTATTCCAAGTACAGATTCGTTGGTTTGCGTATATGATTCTTGCTTAAAATGTGGGCGGCCCTGGTTCAAATTCTGAACTATCCTGTTATTTCTTATCCCTGGTTCAAATCTTGAACCATCCCGCTATTTCTCATATAATATGAATGTAAGGTTTTTATAATTAATAGCGTCCGATGTATGACTACATCCTGCAGCAAGGCCTTTGATGGGGAGGTTTTGAGGAGCGTGGAACAACCTCTTAATTGCTATTGTTCCCAGGTCCACTCTGACCTAATGTGGTAGCACCTGTTAGGTTCCCAACTATGGGCAAATAGTTAAACCCCAACTGGGGTCAAAATACTATGAAAGTATAAATATATATTTTCATAGTAAAAATACCAGTAATACAATTTTATAGTAAAAAAATTACCAACAATAAATATTTGAAAAAAAAAAAAGACTCCTTTTCCTTTCAGCATTTCCGTTCTATCCGTGAAATACGGTGTTATTATATCGTCTACCCAAACAAATCCTCTTCTTGGTGCTCGCATCTGGCAAGAGACCACGTGGAGTCCCACGTTATCGATTCAAGGATCAGCTCAAAAACGCCTTGAGGCCAGAAATCGGTCCGGCCATTTGGGAAACGGAATCTGCAGAAAGGACTAATTAGAAAAAAAAAAAAAAAAAAACGAAAACAAAACAACAACAAAAAAAACACAACAACAACAACAAAAACAAACAAACACCAGAAGACAAATAGAAGAGGCGAAGAGAGCCCTAAGAAAAGCTAGAACTCTCCATTCACTTAACCGTCCTATCCTACCATGCGGTGACTGCGGACGTCTCTTCAGATCAAACAAAAGACACATTTAACACAGAAGGAAATGCCGATGAGCAAGCCAATACCCGGCTACGAGTTACACCAACCACGACATCTATCCGTCTATCTATTTACGTCGATCCACTGGCTTATTGGTCTCGGTGTACGATTCTCGCTAGAAATTGTGTTTTCTAACACCGAGTGTGTTCGTCTCATACTTTTGTTTCTTCAAACTGGCATTACATAAGGTGAAGAAGAACAAGCATAAATAAAATTACTCACCGTAAAGTGGAGGACTGAAAAATATAGCAACAAAAAAGAAATGATCAAAATTGGCTTAACGGTTGTCGCTCCTCGCACTTCAGATCTCAATCGAGGACAAAACACATGCAGCCTTCTCTTTGAAAGCAGCAGGAATGGCTGCTGGGTCTAAATGTAATCTGTGTTAATCTTATAATGTTGATGGCAGTAATTTTCTCTCTTTTCTCGTCGTTGTGCTCCTACTTGTGTTTTTGTCCTCGATTGGCTCCGAAGAGCGAGGAGCAATAAGAGGTTAGCCTGCTTCTTTATATTTTTTTTTTGTACCACTTTACGGTGAGTAACTCTGTCTTCCAATGCTTACTCTTACCTCTGCTTTGTTTTTATATATTTTTGTATGTATTTATACATACTTTTATAATGTCTGTTTTTAAAGCCCTAACAAAATTCTAAAACCGCCATTTTCGTTTGGCTCCTCTGCCTCGGGTTATCATTCTAGCCTGATGCGCGTTGGGACTTCGGTTCAAATTCCAGACAAGTTCGCGACCAGTTTTATTTCGTTCAAACGGTTGTAGCTGAAAATAGAATTATCATGGCATTTTTTTTCACGTCAAATTTGATTGGCTGCTTTGATCTAAGTGCATAATAAGGAAATTTTACCCAAGTAGCTCGGTTTACGTTTATGGCTTTGAATGCGGGCGGTTAAGCATCGAAATGAATGACTCTACTTGAAAGCTTTTTTATTTTTATTTTATTAAACGGATGTAATGCTAATTTTTAACCCAGACACAGTTTTTATCTGGTTGTCCTCTTTTTAGATGCGGAAGGTCCACGTTATAAACGGCTTACAACATTGAAATTGTTTCACGAAATTTGAAAGTTTTTATTTTATTTTATTTTTTTATTAAAGAGAAACCAAATATTGAAGCCAAAAGCAATTCATTGGAAAATTAGAAAAGTGATATACAGGATATTATAATCAAAATGCAATTCACTCAAAGAAACACGTTGAATTAACCAACCACTCGTCTGTTTATTTGTCTCGCTCAGTCAGTAAATGTTGAAGTCCACTAATACACAGACGCACACAGAGACACACACACACACACTCATATATATATATATATATATATATATATATATATATACTGTTCATATCTATTTACGCCTGAGTCTCATTGAAAGTCAAGATATTCCCCCCAAAAAAAAAAGGAAAAAAACAAAAAAAAATACCAAAAAAAAACGTTTTCCTTATATCTTTGCAACTATTGGCTACAGCTATTATACAGGACCACATTCAGGATATTGACGTAATCTTAGAATGCACCACAGCCTAATATATCCGTTTTGCTTTTAACGAATCGTTTGTCTGTGTTCACATTTGAACTCACTACTGTTCCATATCATACAAACGCTTACACGGCTATTTGAAAACAAAAGAAAAAAAACTATATCTACATGAATGGAAGTAAATACATTGATATGAACAGAATAAGATAGATAGATAGATAGATAGATAGATATGAACAAACTGAGGTAGATAGATAGATAGATAGATAGATAGATAGATAGATAGATATTAACAGTTTCGGTTTAATATAGTAACTATTACTACCCCTGGTACAACAGTCAATGTATTGAAAGTATTTTGAAACTATTCTTCCAAAACATTTCTCTACATACAATCCAGAAAGATTAAAAAGTGCTTACAGTATTTGAAAGGAGGTCACATTCCACTAACAAATAACAAAATCTACTGAAACAATTCTCCTTGATGAAAACAATTTTATAAAATGCTAATATGCCTTTGGATCGCCCGGGATTTACAAGGTTGGTGTCTCAAATACAGTGCCAGAAATATTTCATAAAACCCAAAAAGCGAAACTAAATGTCAACAGAAAGAATTTACCGTTAGTCTGGGATTTGAAATTCTGTTAAGGAAATATTCATGAATGTTCACAGAATCAATTACAGTTTAATCAATCGATTTTATAAAATGCATTGTCATTTTGTGCTAGTCTGTGATTTGAAACAAGAAAATACCAAAACAAACCGAGATTTGTAACTCCAAATCAAGACGCTTAAATACAGAGTGTTCGGGCGATATTCAACAAAGTTTAATGTTTTAATTTTTCCGATTGGTTTGGAATATCTGTAAACATTGAACGGCATTGTGACAACTAGTCACTACAGTTTTAGAGGTGTCATAGCTAACTGACATCAAAATCCTCGGCACGAATCATTACAGCTGCTCAATGATTACAGCTTCTCTGATTGCCTCTGTAGACCAGAATTCATCCAACAACTACAGTAGGAAGTGATGGAAGAGCCAAGCAAAAGGAATGCGGACTTTTGGGTGTTGAAATTTCCACCATAAACCTGGCCTTGAATGGTGACCTCCGCTTCCAGTCATAAGAGGTGTAAAGGTCAACTTCTTTCAAGAAGTGCAAGAGAAAACCAAGCAAAGGAATGCAGACTTTTGGGTGTTGAAATTTCCACCATAAACCTGGCCTTGAATGGTGACCTCCGCTTCCAGTCATAAGAAGTGTAAAGGTCAACTTCTTTCAAGAAGTGCAAGAGAAAACCAAGCAAAGGAATGCAGACTTTTGGGTGTTGAAATTTCCACCATAAACCTGGCCTTGAATGAGGACCTTCGCTACCAATCATATGAGGTGTAAAGGTCAACTTCTTTCAAGAAGGGCAAGAGAAGACTTTCTAAAAGAAACTCCTAAACAAGGTGAAACATCTTGATGAACTAAGGACAATCTGACTCTTCTCAGAAGAAAAGAATTTTTGTCGTGACCAGCTGCATAACTGCTTGTCTACAATTCATATGACGTTCCTCGTGCCATGTGACGGTTTTGGGGTGTGTCTCCAGTGATGTTGATGTCATACCACCTCACACCTTTGAACAAGGTCTCAGGCTCAGTTCGAATGGCTATGTGGAGTTGTTGAACACTGAGGTCAAGCCTTGGTTAGATGGAGGTGGCTTCTAGAAGACCATGTATGTGGCAAGAAGATTCAGATCCCTGTCACACCTCCAGAAAGTGTCAGAAGGGGTTGTCAGATAATTTTTACCAGCCACAATCTCTGGCCCTCTAACTACCCTGATTTTAATCCCATACATTATTAAGGGCGGGGAGCCGTTGAGAAAGAGAAAACTGGTTGTAATTCCAAGGCCCCGCTGATCGGCAACATTAAGGAGGCGATTGAGGCTCCCGCTAGGAGCATCATGAATGTCGCATGTGCCAGATACCGGAGCTGAATCGAGATTCGAATATGATTCTTTTAGAGGATTATATGTCACAAGGAATCAATCAGCAGTAGATTGAGTTCTGTCTCAGTTTATACCGGAAACTGCATGGAAAGCAGTCGGTGCATTTTGGGGGTTTACCACCGATTCCACAAGCATCTACTATTAGAAAGTATGGATCAGCAATATGTTAATATCTTTTTTCACTGTCACCCTTACAATTAAAAAGATAATTCGATTGGCAACGTATGAATGTATTTGATTCAATCCTACTATTGATATTTTCTGTTTGTATTGTAGAGGAGGCACGGTGGAGTAATGGATAGCGTATTGAGGAATCGGAGGACCGAGTTTCAATTCCAGTCGAATCCATTACATTCACTTACGTGCTAAAACCCTTGGGAAAGGTATGAATCCTATTCTTCTCCCCCACCTCCCCAGCACACCTTGGATGGCAACTTGTCTACCGCGGAAAGAAATGGCAACCTACTGCGGGAAAAAAAATCTGCCTCGTCAGTCATGCATCAAAAGATATATGATCGCCTAACCGTGTATAACGCATGGCACATAACTGATTGACTGTGTCTGCATTCGTCTGACATTCATAACAAAACGAAAGAAGTAACTGCAGGAATATTTAAATGTTTATTTTTTAAAGGAATTAATACCGTGCCAGTATTTTCAGTCAGCACTGTGTTTGCTTATATATATATATATATATATATATATATATATATATATATATAAGTTTGTGTTTTTATATTCCCCTCCTCCTTCTAGGCGCATGTTTAGTTAGATCAACGAAACGTTATTGAATCTGATGAAGTCTTTAACAATGAAACGCGTCACGTAAAAATGTTTTTTTTTTCCACTTTTTCATTCAATTTCTTAAAATCTTTCTGCTATATAAAAATGAACGATGTTGAGAGGTTGCTGTATCTTTTTTTAAAACATACCCTCAGTTGAATCAATATAATTGATTATAACGAGTCTGTCAGCCTTAATTTATTGACAGCCATCCATTCTGCCTTCTTTGGTTAGTCCTTTCTTATCTCTTTCTTATATCACCTTGTCTAGACGTTTCTACAGTTTTCTTTCTCTGTTTCAGTGAAGTGCTGAGATTTGGTGATGTTTGGTGATGCCCGGGGCCAACTCCTTGATTTTATGCCCCTAAGAATCAAGTAAGTGGGGCCGGGTGGGGCTATAGGGCCTACTACTGAGAAATGTGACATTTTAAATATGTAAAAACAGATGAAATATAACTAATTACTAATTAACCCACAGCTGGGGAGGAGAAGAAGTGGATTCGTACCTTTTCCAAGAGTATTTGCGCGTAAGTAAATATAACGAGCCCAACTGGAATATGGCTCTTCGATTAGCAATTCCAAGTCATTGATCAAGATAAATGATTGGCTGACGGGATCGTCACAATCAATTATTGATTGTGATGAGCCTGTCAGCTTTAACTTATTGACAGCCATCCATTCTGCCTTCTCTGGATAGTCCTTTCTTATATCACCTTTTCGGAGGAGTAATGGATCCATTACATTCACTTACTTGCTAATACCCTTGGGAAAGGTATGAATCCTCTTTTTCTCAACCCAGCTATGGTTAAATAGCAGGACAGAACAAGTTCTATAGCCTTGGATGGCAACTGGTCTACCACAGAAAGAAATGGCAACCCCTTGAGGGAAAAAATCTGCCTCGTCAGTCACGTATCGAAAGATACATGATCGCCTGAGCGTGTATCACGCATGGCACATAACTGAAATGATTGTAAAATGTGAGACAATTTTACTCACCGATGAAGAGGGGGGAACAATAAAGATGTGGTTCATATCTTGTGAACAATGAGAAAGTTTTAAGGAAAATGGAAACAAAGTGACATGTGTCCTTAAGATCAGAAAAATGTCAGTTGATAGTTATAAATTAGTATTGTGAGGGAGAATATTTCCCTACAAGTTTAGACTCGGCCGTTGGATGAAAGACATAAAAATACTCCTACATCAAGAGGAGTATCAGGACGAGCAGTAGCAACAGTAATCTTTACTGAAAACAGTTAGTTATTCACGGCTAAACATTTTCTTCCCTAGTTTCTATTCTATATTACGTTTCCCTGTACCAAAAGGTAATGAACTTGTTGCTAAGCCAATTTTCTATGGCTATTTTTGCTAACTCAGTTACAACAGAAAGATGGGTTGGAAAATATGAATCACACAGGAACATGTACAAACAACAGGGAGGGTAGAAAACAGCGAACAATCTACCTAACGAGCTTGTTGAAATGGATGACTGGACAGGGACTGGGAGGAATAGTAAGAGGAGAAGCCTTGCTTGCAGCTGCGAAAGACAAGAAGTTGTCTCGAAAGGACGTGATATATGTCTTTTAAAACTTGAGAATCTCATCCGAATAGTCGTATTTAAGAAATTTTAACTTTTAAGCTTCATGTAAAATTTAATCGTAGGTGTACATATAACTGTCAGTGATCGAGATTCGAGCGCAAATTAAAGTTTGAATTTTGAATGCCGATTAAGTCAGACAAATCCATCACATTTGAAATATTTACAAAATACAATTTACCATTCTTCGTATTTGGCCTTGTGTCTTACTAGGCCAAACAGAGTAAGAATAAATAGAACGATGAACTGACCGGGATTTAATCAAGAAGAAACGAATAAAAACATAGGAGATTATTAGATAGAATAACATGTGAACAAAAGCTTTCTGAGACTTTAATCAAGAAGAGGATCGTCCATCATCTAGATAGGAACAAACTCTTGTGCGATGAGCAGTATGTGTTTCGATCAACTCGATCCACTGCTGATGCCCTACCATTATATACAGATTTAGTGACGCCCTTGTCGACACGCACACCTCGAAGACCATAGCATTAGATATCTTAGACAAGCTGTGGTTAAAAGTTTACTACACAAACTCTCCAGGTATGGAATCAATGTGAGGGTCTTCTCAATTATAAAATCCTTCTTAACAGGTGGATCACTGAAGGCAGTCATTAACGGTCAGTCCTTCGAGGCCTTGCTGAACAATACAGGCGTCTCCTAAGGTGACATTTCTCAGTAATTTCTGATTACTGGTGTAATTAAGGTGTCACTTTGTAATTTCTGATAACATAAATTATCAGCGACGATATACGGGCGAACCTCCAAAAGTCTTGACGATCAGAGATGGGCAGCTAAACTCTATTCCGATCTAACAGTAACTTCCCTGTGGAAAAAAAAAAAACCTTCACGAACCGGACCGGACCGGCCTTGACTCCCATATAATAGCAAATCACCAACATTCCCTCCGTATTTCATCGGCGAGGAGTAAGTTCCGCTCAAATAGCTTCTTCTCGCTGCCCAGTGGAACAGGATTCAATGAGAATGTTTGTTCGATCACTACAATCTTAACCTGTTAAAATGTAGAGTTAACCGTTATATCCTTCTTCTATCCATATAAACTGCCTCTTAAATAAACCCTCTGCCTCGAGTGGCTCCCCGGGTCTTGTACAAGATGAACCTTACCGTAAAAATAATAAAAAAAAATCATTGAAAAAACTTCAATTAAACACAAAAATATCGCCACAAATCGATCGATCTTTATTTTTCTCATTAAATGATTTAAATTTAGGCGTATCTTATACTCTCAAAACCAAGTACTAACTGACTTTTACAAGTGACCAGTGAAAACTAAATGACCTGTGAAGCGATAAGGAGAGGAATACTTCCCAGAAACGTATCTTATCTTGAAGTCGGTGAATGTCTTTCACCGGGTCTAGTTCATTTACGATGTGATAACAACGGCAAATGGGACGGCTATATTTAATTTGATTTTTTTTAGACAGGTTTTAAAATACGCATGTGTAGAATGTTATAGCGATGACGTAAATTATGATGTAATATAATAACAATAATGATTGTAAATACACTTCGCCCAGCAAATATACGCGAATGAATACGGCATGCAGGCGAAACCACGACAAAAAAAAAAAAAAAAAGAATAAAATAAATAAATAAATAAAAGTATTGTCGAGCTTCGAGCTTTTATGTTCAGTTTCTTTTTTATAAGTATAGAATAAATATTGGAATGTTAAAATATTTTCAATAAAATTAATTTACCGATATACAGACACACACGCACAGATGTATACGTGAAATTGTGCCATTAAAAGAACGCTTTTAAGTTTGGTGTTGGACAATTTCCTCATGATGTAAAGGATACTTGAGCCATATTGTTCAGAGAGATCAAGAGACAGACAGACAGAGGGAGAGGGGGGCGAGTTGAGCTAAAAGAAATGAGGTTTAATAGAAGGATTCTGAGAATACATACAATCCGAAACAGAGAGTTCACATTTCTGGGACCAAAAAATGAAGAACGGGGTTGGAAATTTTAACACGACCAAGAGAAATTAAAAGCAACAGGGAAAAAGAGAAACAGCGAGTTACCTAATGAGCTAGTGTAAATGGATGGCAGGACAGTGAATAAGAGGGATACTAAAAAGACATATTGCTAAGGGCTACAAAGGATAAGATGTAGTGGAGAGACATGACCTGAAGGGGCAGATGGAAGCAATGTGTAACATACCTAATGAGCTAGTGTAAATGGATGGCAGGACAGGGAATGAGAGGGATACTAAAAAGACATGTTGCTAAGGGCTACAAAGGATAAGATGTAGTGGAGAGACATAGCCTGAAGTGGCAGATGGAAACAAAGGATAATGATGTGGATGGCAGGACAGGTGAGAGGGATACTAAAAAGATATGATGTAGTGGAGAGACATGACCTGAAGGGGCAGATGGAAACAATGAGTAACCTACCTAATGAGCTAGTGTAAATGGATGGCAGGACAGTGAATAAGAGGGATACTAAAAATACATGTTGCTAAGGGCTACAAAGGATAAGATGTAGTGGAGAGACATAGCCTGAAGTGGCAGATGGCAACAATGAGTAACCTACCTAATGAGCTAGTGTAAATGGATGGCAGGACAGGGAATGAGAGGGATACTA